GAAAGAATGTGAGAATGCTAAAAGTGTAAAATTAGCGTTTGTTTAAAAGAATGTTATATTGTCCCGGCAGAGGGCACGAATTGTTGTCAGCCTCGACAGTTTTCGTTGTGTGCCAGGATTCCAGCGTCTTTCTAATGCGGCTATTGCCTTTGTCAATTATCTCAGCATTGTTAAAGTCGACGGTGTGATCAAAGGTCCAGGCATGTTTCGCTACATTGGAGCCTTTAGCACATTGTTTAGTATTTCTGACATGTTCTTTTCGCCTTGTACTAAACGATCTTTTGTCTTACCCATCGTAACATGCATCGGTTGTGCACTTTACAACACCTCAAAATTTCTCATCAACATCTTAGCACCTATTCAAAATCGAAATGGCACTCACAGAAGTTCTCCAGGATATAGCTGACATCAACATCTTAGATGATGAAACCATGGTCTCTTTCGACGTGGTTTCCTTATTCGCCGCTATTCCTGTAGAAAAAGCCTGTAACTACATCAGGAAGAAACTGGAAGATGATTATTCTCTCCATTCCAGAAGCAATCTAGACGTTGATGACATAATTTGTTTACTAGACTTTGTGCTGTCCAACAATTATTTCATTTACAATGACGACATCTACAAACAAATCCACGGCTGTGCTATGGGTAGCCCTGTCAGCCCCGTAATAGCCAACTTATGTATGGAGGAAATTAAAGAAACAGCAATCGATTCAACCCCGGTTCCACCCAAAATCTGGAAACGTTACGTAGACGACAGGTTTTGTGTCATCAAAAAGAATGCAGTTACTTCTTTTCATGACTCACTGAACTCTATCGACCCGCATATTTCCTTCACCATCGAGCACGAATCTAATGGCNTCACATTGCTGTACATCATCAACTGACAAACCACAACATTGACTGGGACTCTGCTCAGTGCTTAACCTACAGTACAAACTATTTTTAACGATTGACTCTGGAAAGCTGGTACACCAACCTAGAACAAACGCTTCTTAACAGATGTCAACAACTACCGGCGCCCAACAAACGACTTATCCACGACGGAAACGAAACCGACAAACGGACTTTCTAACAGACCGACTTAACAATACATGGACCAAAAACCGACCAATTCGACTAACAATAGACGGATCGAAACCCACCAGTGACTAACAAACACTATTCACTTGACTCTGAAGATGACTTCCGCTCAGGTTGTCGAAACATCAGTCACCTCAACAGTTGTTTTCAGAACTACCCTCACCCGGACGATGACACTATACGAAATAATAATTTCTGTAAAAGAGGTAAAAAGCGTTCTCTGGTAAAATTATTTAACGTTGTGAGCTTTCAACAGCCAGTCTGCTGTCTTCGACGGACAAAAATGAAATGATAAAATAGACCTAAAAATTTCTTTTGAATATAACAAGCGAATGGCATATATTAGATAGTCTACGTGTGAAAGAATGGATAGATAGTGCATGTGAGAAACTATGGTCTCCTTCGATGTGGTTTCCTTATTCACCGCTATTCCTGTAGAAAAAGCCTGTAACTACATCAGGAAGAAATTAGAAGATGATTATTCTCTCCATTCCAGAAGCAATCAAGACATTGATGACATAATTTGTTTACTAAACTTTGTGCTGTCCGACAATTATTTCATTTACAATGACGACATCTACAAACAAATCCACGGCTGTACCATTGGTAGCCCTGTCAGCCCCGTAGTAGCCAACTTTTGTGTGGAGGAAATTGAAGAAACAGCAATCGATTCAACCCCGGTTCCACCCAAAATCTGGAAACGTTAGGTAGACGACAGTTTTTGTGTCATCAAAAAGAATGCAGTTACTTCTTTTCATGACTCATTGAACTCTATCGACCCACATATTTCCTTCACCATCGAGCACGAATCTAATGGCCAGCTGCCATTCCTCGACACCCTTATTTCTCGCGATAATGAGAGGCTCAACATTGATGTCTATCGGAAGCCCACGCACACGGACAGATATCTTGATTTCCCGGCATAAACAAAAGTAGGAAACCAGAAACTGCAGGGGACCGCATACGATAAACGCTGCCAACGTAGGATCTACATGAGATCTCATGTAAATCCTACGTTGGCAGCGTTTATCGTACGCGGTCCCTTGCAGTTTCTGGTTTCTCATTTATGTATTTTCGGACCGTAGGTCTTTTCAGATCCGATACGCTGCGTTTTTAAAGCATGGTACTGGCCATGCGGTTGAATGTTTAAATGTTTAGGCTAGCCTTGTCCAGCCACATTTATTCTCTTGCTTTTCGAGACACCAATCTTGACACTTTGTCTCCTTGCGCCCCGAAACACGTGATGTGGCAACGCGTTTTTCGGGGCGCAAGTGAATTCAAAGTACGGAACTTGATATAGTGAACGGGTCATTTTACAATTTATGTGCGTTGGCTGTTGGGCTGGCGTTACATATCTTCGCTACACAGTGCTGACGAGCCCCAAGAAGGGCGAAACAGCTGTCCACTGTTGCGATCCTACTTTATCGGTTCTTGTCATGTTGCTTTGGTGTCTCGAAACGTTTTTCACGTAGTATCAGCCTTGCGGTCTATTGTTTATAAACAAAAGCCCTTCAAAAATTATGCTTAGGGCAACTGTGTCAGCCGCAACGATCATATATAGGGTATCGAAGTTTTGGTGTGGTCAAAAATAGGGTAGGGAAAATCGCAGATTTTGGTCATAAATAGGATAAGGGCGGCCACACACCCCCACCGAATTTTTCTGGGAGTATTCTCCCAGGGGTTCTATCACGCATACAGTTCAAATAATAATGATGATGATAATAATAATATTTATATTTATATTCATAGAGGATAAACCCCGTTAATTTATTTGTTTTGCTTAGTTGTGTTTTGCATGTGCTTAGTTGTGCTTAGTTGTGCTTAATATGTGCTTTGTTGTGTTCTGATGTTCTCGGCCAAACGATCGCAACATTTCAACACAACATATCGCGGCATTGTTGGGCACAGGATGTTGCGCGCGTTTGGCAACCCTGTTGCGACCTGTAGCGACATGTTGGGTGCTGTTGGCTCAAGTTTGAAAATGATCAAATTTTTCATGCAACATTTGTGGATGTTGTTGCACTAATTGGCCAGGTTCGTGTCCCATTGTTGCACCAGGGCATGCGCACCAGCTCGATTTGGAACATCAAACATGACGCAACACGTCGCAACAGGATGGCAAAACGCGCGCAACATGTTGAGTCCAACAATGTTGCCATATGTTGCGTCGAAATGTTGTGATCGTTTGCCCGAGGCTTGGAAATGCTGGACCAGTAATTTTGCGATATGTGGCGTTGAAGTGTTACGATCGTTTGACCGTAGCTTGAAAGTACGTTAAGGCTCAATGAAATCAAGATGGTGGACATATGTGATTCGAACAGACACATTTTCGACTTGATTCGAGAACCGATAAAAAATTTTAACATTGCGGCTAAATTATCGGCCATTAGAGACTAGGCTATTCGCTGGGGTGGAATGAGCCAATAGGAATTCGTTTCATTTGAAATCCTTTTTATGAAATGTAGGTATGGAATGAAATGTCGATATACTAAAATAAAACAGTTCAAGGTCAAGGCCAGATTTAATGGCGTTTCAATAACTTCTCTTCATATAAATAGCTTATAAGCAGTTTTTGAACACCTCGGTGTGAGAAAAACAAAATAAATGACCTCAGGTTTGAGGGCGTTTGGTGGCCAATGAATATAGCAAATGAGTTTGCAATCTAAAAACAGAGCAATTAATTTGTTTACTTAAAAAGTTCGTTTTTTTTTTTTTAAAATTGAGATTTGACAGATTATTTGTAAGGTAGCGAACTTTAAATCAGTTTTCATTTTACGTTAGATTAATAACTATTGAAATATGGAGAAAAGACCTTAAAGCAGTCGTGGCATATTCAGAATAAGATTTCCTAAAAACACGTGTTCTTCATGCAGGAATCGTGCAAGAATCACATTCACATGTTTGTCATTTAACGCGGTGCGATTTAAACAATTGTTCAAAATAATCAACCCAGTAAGCTTAGGTCTAGTGAAGCTCTTAAATGTTAAGCGTAAACTAAACTTAACCTGAAGATTCAGGCCTTTTCCCTAGTATCAGCAATTTTAAAGTCACGCTTTCTCTGCCAGTTCTCAGAAATATTCCTTCCATATAAAGTTAAGTAATTCTATATAAGTAGTTATTTTATAAATAACAACATTTGCATTAATTTACAAGATGTTTTCCAGTAGTATATTTATATCTAAATTATTATTTACTATATTTTGATATTTATGTAAGCATTTCTGTAACTCTCGTTTTATCAGTTTTTCACACCAGTTGCATTAAGTTTGTTCTTTAATTTTCCGCGTTTTTCACAAAATAGTTCACTGTCTGGTATTTGGATTGTATTTTTGTTTTAGCGCGCCAACTGTTCCCAGACTCTACTGATGCATGTGTTACATAAGTTTTATCTTCAATAAAGTTGCAGTGTTTTCATTCGAGATTCGGCGAAAATAATTTTACAGTCAAAGCAGAGCAGAAAGAGGTTCGAAATGAATACAATCACTTGATGCGGCGAGTTCCCAAAGTAAATTAGGCAAAAGGAACTTGTTTTGGAGTTAAGAAAATCCAGTTTGAAATGCGAATTGAGAGCCAATATTTACGAAAATGAAACAATAACATAACTTAAAGTTTTTTTAAAAAAATATTCAACGGTACGTTTTTGGAACAGCGCGGCATACGATGGCAAAAAAAAGAGAAAAGATTTACCTTCAATAAAGGCAGTTTGGTACTTTTCTGTACCTCTGGTTTGCAGTTTGCAGAGATGAACATCCTTTATATCAGTTCTTTTATATTTCCAAAAAGCATACCTTTCTGAGATCACAAAGACAATTCTACAATTTTAGTATTTCCGATTTAGACTAAAACAGTGTAAAACCATATGCTTTTTGGGAGGCACATCACCTCACAGCTTATATTGTAGTGTCAAGATTCCGGCTGAGTTTTTAACAACGCTTTCGATGGCGACGTCGAAACTGAAAGAATTAGCAGCTGACATTGCAAAGTTTGTTGCGATATCACGAAGCAGGAGTTTTTTTGATCCATTTTCTTACTTTTTGGTGTTCAAAATTTTCGGAATTTTAAGAACAGAACACCAAATGAATCCTCACCTGCTATGATAATTCAGTGGTTGGCGCACTTGTAGTTGAATAAATGGTTCGCCCAGAAAGTGCAATGCAATGTTGTTTTATTTGTCCTGGGCGCGTCAGGACATTTTGTACAGACCAAACTTTGTGATATACAAGGATATACGAGGTTTCGAGGTAAAGCAGAAAATCATGTATTTTGAATTTGTTCTCCAAACTGAGCGTGGGCGGATTGAGACTACGATCAGTGTGATCCGTCCGTGTGTGTGTTCGTATTATGTTCCTACACGAGTCACATGTACTTTAATCACTTTCACGTGCTTGTCATTTATTGATCAGCAGATGAAACACCCTGTTTTATAATAGCCGGTGCTTTTCTAAAAAAAAAAAGCTTTTTTAACCTTTTATCAATTCTTTTCAAATCACGTTTTCCTCGTGCCTAGACATGTACTTTCCACTGTCAAGGGCGCGAGAATATACCCAAGGAAAAAGAAGGAAAAAAACTCGATCTTTGTACAGGCTGCTTCCTCACAACATTAACTTTAATTTATTTGAAGGTGTCTTTTTCAGCTTCCTCGTATATTTTGATAGTTATGTAACCACATCCGTGTAACTCACGTTTTTGTAATTTTTTTCAAATTTCGCAAAAGCGTGTGTTGCCAGCTCACCGCGTTGCTTAGTTAATTTCTTTCACAAAAGCGCTTACATTAAATTTCCCCTCGTTTTTCCTTATGTAATACTACTGTCAGGCTCTGTGATTTCGCAATTTTTTTTTTCAGAGCTGTTTCATTTGGTCAGGTGGTTAAATTAATATATATGCACAAAAATTCTCGAAATTATTTGTCGAATTGTCCAAGTGTCTCTGCATGCGATCGCTTCTCTGCATAGTTAAATTTTTATTTCGACTCAAATTAGACAGTTTGTGTTCTTTCTTTGTTAAGGGAAGAAAAAGAGAAGCCAAGAATACCCGGCAACAGCACAAGTATGCAAAATTTCATAAGGCTACACAATAACTCATGCTTTCAGATTGAATTGCGGTTAATGGCAGATGACACATATTAACCAATAGGAATTGGCGTTGTTTTGGAACACCTGCTCACTCATAAGAAATGGATTAAGATTTTGCTAGGTTATTGAAATTCAAAACAGCGCCCAGACCAGCTTCCGAACTTTTAACCTCAGATGTTTTGCGCGAACAGCTCAATATAAGTCGACCGTGGGAAAAAATACGATGGAAGCAATTTTAAAGACGACGTAAACACGAAAGACGAATGACAATGACAACTGCAGTCAGCAGACGAAATATTAAAACGTATTAGTTTCATAAATTATAAACTTAAGCGAAAACCCTCCCTGCGGTAAAATCACGAACGGTCGTGAAATCGGTTGTCGTGTTTATTTTGGTAACTAATTACGAAAGTGGGCAAAAAGGCACACTCTGGATAAATGTTATTTAGCCCTAGTTTGCTACTAACGATGCTAAGAAAATTTCATTGCCGTGGGTTTGATTTATTTGTCAGTTTGAACAGGGTTGTGAAAACACAGTCTTGATTGCCTCACTGCGCGGTTTTAGTGCGACAGAATGGACTGGAACGTTCCCGATGCTTGCTACGTGTTGGCGCGTGACAAAAAGCACTCGGAAGTAAAAATGCAAATAAATTGGGGCTTGTTACATAATAAGCCGCAAAATCCCTGCGGCTCACCACACTAAAATACCGGTTAAACGCAATTGAAGTATATCAGTCTGAGGAACGTATCGACTGGGTTCAGAACTCGCAGAACCCGCTCGACATAACTTGTACCTTATTTACTATCTGTGCAACTTTTAAGACTGAAAAATGGCACAACTAAGAACGCTTACAAAATCCGTGAGTTGTGATCACGTCTCATCATTTGCTGAGAATTCTGTGAGGAAAGTACGTTGGTCGATGGATTTAG